GCAAAACCTTTACCTCAAATGAAGATGTCAAAAACCACCTGAACCAGTTTTTTTGCCAGCAAGGACCAAAACTTTTATGAGAGGGGAATTATGTTACTGCCAGAAAGATGGCAAAATTTGTTGGACCAGAATGGCCAATATATAATTTAATAAAATATCTATTCATTATACGAAAACTGTCTTTCATGTTCCCCAAAAAGAAACGAAATGACTTTCCGAACAACCCAATATGTTCGATAAAGTCTATTAGTGAAATTAGAAATTTTTTAACCTTTGGAATGTGACGGGAAGGAAGGCAAAACCGTTCGAACTCGTCCCTCCGTATTATACCGACACCGACAATGGTAATTAATGGATTATTAGGCGTTCTCTTGCCTCGCCAAGACGGATCAGAAGCGGACGCCAGACGCGAGGGGAGAGATATACATCCAACGGGATAATAATTTATTTATGTATGCCTGGATCGGGCACAAAGGCGGAGCGTTTGTGTACTAAGCTTATACGTGATAGGTATTTGTAATTAACGCTATCCGGTGTTCAATTAATTATATAGAGCGCGCATCAAAAGGTCAACAAATACGTTCGAACACGCGCGAGCAAACTTGAGTACTTAATGCACCCTCTCCATGCGATAAACCGTGTTGCCGTGATGTACGTTATCTCGCCAGGCACCGTTTTTCTTTTAGATTATCAAAAACATGCTTGTGTTAACATGATTCTTTGAGTTTGACGTGAACGCGTTGTAGGTGAACCTTCGATTGTTGCGTACTGGACGTATAGTAGGGTTGTGAAGCAAACTACCCAAAATCTGGGCAAAGAGAGTTGACATCAATTATTTACAAAACTAGAAGCTTTAATAGAGACGAAGAATGCTAACTTCCATAATAAAGGTATTAACAGAGCTGGTGCATAGGTGCAAATACTAGAATGGTGACAAAGAGAAACGAATTCATATAAAATGCGACGCGAACCTACTGGTCGGACTGAGTGTTGTTTTGGTAGGTGTTCATCATGCTTCGAAGCCTGTGAACACTAAAGTCCTAATACAAAACTGGAAAATTTGTTACCTGATTGAGAGACAAGGACATTTAAATTTAATAGTTCAAGCGAAAGTGCAATTTCTAGGTCAGAAATTTGACATAATAGTTTGGACGCAGTAGTGTCTGGTTGTCGAGGACGCTAGTCTGATGGTTTCCTACCAGAAGCGGAGGGCTGGTTCCAACGACTGCCATTATCTTTTGATACCGGCTTTCAAAGAAAACTAAAGAGCTTTGTTGCGTTTATTGACTTATCAGCATCGTATAACACCGTCTGGACGGAAGGAACGATGTATAAAATGCCTATGAAAAAGTCCTTATAAATTTACATCTAGACTAATAAAAAACCTGCTTAACGACAGAGTCTTTGAGGTGATATAGATATCAGAAACTAGCAATCCCAGGAAGCTGCAGCAGATATGTCCAACACAACATTAACAAAGTTTGGCTACGCCGACGATTGAGCCTTAGCCGCTCAAACTAAATCAATAGAAGAAGCCGTAGAGAAAAAATGGAGACTCCAGCCTAATGCTTCAAAAACAGAAGTAACCTGCTTCCATTTAAACAACAAAATGGCCGACAGAAAAAGAATCACAAAAAAATCCAAAATACTTGGGTGTCACTCTTGACAGGACATTTACCTATAATTGCATACCTGACACTGACACAGAAATAACACAAGAGGAGTATCAGCATCCACACTTAGATTGTCAGCCCTGGGCTTTGTTTATTCAGCAACGGAGTACTGCGCCCCGGCATGGCTCGTTGGCGTAATCAAATCCACCTCAACTCAATGGCCACCAGTATTGAGCGACATAACACCTACGCCGAAATCTATTGACAAAAGAATACAGGAAAATACTTAACAATAGAGAACTCCCCATATAAAAGAAGCCAACAAAAACCGACTACAGTCTAGAATACACCACCAACACATACCGAAAAAATTGCCATAGATACTGAGTTTGATTGGATTAGATTGGATTCACGAATGGTCGGGAGGTCAGCTGAACTACAACTTGCCCGGCATAACAATGGATTTAATCTACCGCGCAAAACCTTGTATAATGTGTATATTGAATTGCACTAGGACCCGATGCGGTAGATGCGCATACTTTCTGATCTGGTTGGGGACACACACTTCCAGAATATTTGTCAGAAGAAATTACCAAGGAGTTTTCACTATATAGTTCCTTATTACGTCTCGGCACCAAACCGCAAATGGATAACTTTGTCGGATGCCGTGCGATTCACTATATCTACGTAGTCAATATTTTATTATATTTTACGATCGTTTGCGAGCACCTCTCGAGTAATTTTGAAGTTTATAAATAAACCGGTACCGTTTTCATTCAAAACAATGATCCGCTTATTTTCAGAATCCGTACGTTTTCTATTTTCGCGCGAACCGCCACTATTTTGTCATGCGACTCTCATTTAATATCTCAAACGGAAAAATTGAATCCGTTTTACTCCTACGCACGTGCGTATATTTTCCAGAGTCTATTACGACTTTTTGTTTTCGTTTCCATTCATGACCCGCGACGTCAGTCCATTAACCAATCATTTTAATACTTGGAACTGGTTTACGACGTATTTACACTCTTGCTATACGTAAATTGGGCATCTTCATTCTGCTTCTTAAAGCTTCACCTCCTAGCGGAGGGTTCATTCATGCCTATGGAAATCAATCTTGTTAAATAATATGCTATGACCATTTCGGTGGCCATATTATTGTCGCAGTTCTCACTTATTAAGCAGTTCCATTGTAACTTTGCGAGGACTAAGTATTCCATATCTATTATTTTTTAAGGTGACAAGAATGTCTGCCGTTCAAGTTCAAAAGTTGGTTTATGTTTTGCTAACTCTATAACAGGTCGCAATTTCATCAAAATACATGCCATAAATTTGAGTATTTCCGTTTCGTTAAGAAACATCCATTCTGTTTTTTTTTCTTCATCTGATTTAAATCCTTGATGCTATTATCCTTTCACTCCAGATACCAAATGACATTTGTCATTTGGTAGCATCATTATCTTCACGGTTGGGACAAGAAATCTATCTCAAGCATTTTAGAGAAATATTTGTAAAGATATTCTTTAATGAGAACAATGCATATAAATGTGTTATTGTTTTCGTTTTCATTCATTTCTGGCGACGGCTGTCCATTACAAATCATTTTAATGCCCAGATTACGACGTATCTTCGCGCTTGATACAACGGATACGTTAATGGCGACCGTAATGGAAAAATGGAGTAATAAAGCTTCGCCGTAAAGAGGCGATATTATTTGGTTTTAGCGGATAAAAGCCAGTTATGATGTCCTGGGCCAGACAATAAAAATTCCCCCTCGAACTTTTTTATTACATTTACATTTAATATGGAGCTACAGTTCTGAGAATTTAGACGATCGTATTTTTAAAATTTGTCTGACTGTTGCTTGTTAGAAGTTTTCCGGTGGTTTTCGCACTTTCTTGACACGGAAAATCTAGATAGACAACAACATTTTTTTTTAAAATAAATAATCCCATGAAGGTGAAGGAATTTGGACATTGTGTTTCTACTAAAAGTTCAATCACCTAACTGTGGTTATACGAATCAATCTCTTAGACTTCTTCATGTAATTTTACCCCTAGTTCTGGAGCAGCTTGTACAAGGTTACGCAGAAGCATAAAATTTTTCATTTTTAAGATGATTTTGTTTTAATTGAGTCTAAATGATTCAATATTAGTGCATTTTTCAGAGCCTTATTTTAATATTAGCCAAGTGTAGCCCTTGTCCCTCTCTTGAAAGTTGAATATCAACTTTCAGTTTCTACATAGTGCGAGGTATTTTAGCTTACACTTAATACTTAAGGCGTGCAAAGGTATTTGGTGTAGTTCTCTTAAAGAGAGAAAGCTACTATTCGTCAAGAACTCACAAGAAAGACAGATGAAACTATTTTGAGAGTGTGCGACCACGAAGAAAAGCCAACATTATTTTCCGACATTGTAAAATGCATTACTCTTTCTCTTTTTGAATACTCCACATCTTTCTAAGGTTTGTGACTGGCAGCCCGGAAATTCTTCAACATTCGAATGTAGCACAATTTTAAGTTATGGTATGCTAAGGCCTAGGTTGTCTACATGAATGCTTAAGAAATAATTTCTAATAATTTTTCAGCATCAATGATCTATGGTCTAAGTTTTTACGTCCTTTATTACGGTAAAAATTGCTGTTTCCTTTGATGATTCATAAATCATGAAAATTTTCTTAATTGATGACATAAAATTCGTATATAGGATAAGAGTTTGCAGTGTAGACGTCAACATTTTCTTTGTTTTCCTTCTATTCATTAGAGCTCTCCTTTAATTCTCTTTGGACGTGTCTTTCGTAATTTCCAGTTCTCTGTCTCTTTCTTTCAGTCCTTGCATTGCTCCTGTTTATTTTCTTTTTTTTAGTTTCTCACTCTTTTGGCACATTATACAATTTTCTCTTCCTCTTCCACTATCCTCTAATTTACTTTTATTCATTTTTTCCTACCAAAGTTTTCTTGCTTCTCAACGTCTTTGTCTCTTTCACTCCATTAAGTAGTTTTAAGTATTTGCACAATTTTTTACTTATTATTGCTTATTATTATTCTTGTCGATTTTATCATTTCACGCAATCCAATGTACTGAAGTTCAAAAACTATCTTTTACGAGTCGGACCGGGCCCGCTTTTTTGCATCCGTATGAATAATAATATTAATTTTAATACGCAACAGTTTACATTTGATTAAAACTTCGATAAATAAACTGTGGCAATGTGAGTAATGTGCCGAAGCAATTTTACGGCTACAAATGTTTGGGCCCCGTCTGTGTGTGTGTGTGTTTTAAATTCCTTTCCCGTTTAAACAACCGGAAAATTTCGATTAGTTCTGGAACAGCGTTCTAGTGACTAGAGTAGGTGCCCCCCGACTAAGTTCTATCTGTTAATTTGCAGGCGGGGGTTTTGGAGATGACGTGGGTGATGACTGACTTCACGGCGACGAATCCTTCGGAGTTGAGCGTCAGCAAGGGGCAGCAAGTGGAAGTTGTCGAGGTGTGCTCCTCCAAGCCCGATTACTGCCTCGTGAGGATGCCTACGCGGGGCAGCGATCAGGAGGCGGTACCAGAAGGTCTCGTGCCGCTCGTCGTTTTGAAGCAACCGCCCCCGCATCGGGGCTCGCCCTCGAGGAGGCCGCCCCAAGCGTTGGATCACGACCTCGGTGAGTTTTTCAACAGATTCCTTCCTACAATTGATTAATTCCGCTGTAGATAGATAGATAGTACTTTATCCCAAAAATTGTTACCCAAGTTATAGTTGTCTAAGCTGTATGGCTCAAGTTCAATTCAGAATTTTTTAATTTCCCGCTTAAACGCATTTCTATTATTAATTCGTCTAGTTTATCGAACAGTTCTACACACATATACTTGGGATTCTTTTGAATGATTTGCAAGCGATGCAAGGGATAGGTGTGATATTATTTCGTATTGTAACTTTCTGTATTTAATCGTTTCTGTGAAGGACCGTAAGGCATTCAAATATGTATAGAGCGTATACTGGCAAAATTCCCATTTGTTTAAACACATTTCGGGACATTTCTATATTCCATTTTTTCTAATTAATCTGATTACCCTTTTCGGACTTATAAAAAAGTCTTCTTGAGTGGTGGTAGTATTTTTCCCCAAAAGATTATTCCCTATTTCATTCCAGGTTAGCAAAGTTTAATTTAATTGTTAATTGAGTTGTATGAAAAGACCAGTCCAGATGTCCATTGAGAATAAGCCCAAAAATTTTCCGACATGCACAGGTGTTTATTGTCTACGCTGGGGTTGCGTATTGTTTCTATATTACACCGTTTGGTTCTGAAGAATATGGCATTTATTTTGTCTGTGTTTGGAATTAATTTGTTATCCAGGAACCATATAATAATTTTACTAATGAACGATTCGGATTCATGTAGGAGCTTATACAGACACTTGTAACCAATTCGTGTCATTAGCTAAATTTATTATCATTTGTCTGGAACGTTCTTTAACCGTGTATATGTCATTGATGAATATGACAAACATAATGGGGCCTAAACTACGCTGTGGTCATTATGGCAAATTTTTAAGTTTTCACCCTGTTCATTTTTGTAGACTTTAATGATTTGAGCACGTTGGCTAGATATTCATTTTAGCGCCGAACCTCTTACGTCATGTCTCTCTAATATTGAACTAAGATGGCTTTTACTTGATTATTTATTCTGCTAAATGGATTTTCATTTAGCAGAATAAATAAGAACTAAAAGTTCAGATTTTCACGAAATTATATATTTTTACATGATAATTGTTGATAATATTGATAATATTGGTAATCTTATCTAATCTCAAATAAATGTATTAAAATATAAATTTATAAAAATAATAATAATAATATAAAGGTCTTCCTTGAATAGGTTATTTAATAACAAAAATCAAATACTTGCATACGCTTTAGTTTTAGTTTAGATGAAATATTTTTTGATACTTTCGGTACTGTAAATTATGAATATTAGGAGTATCGGTATATCCTTGTACAAAATTGCCACAAGAACATTTTTTCCGTCGATTGTGCGAATTTCATTTTCATTTAAAATCAATCAAATCACTAAAAATTTAAAATATTTGAAGACGGCAATACTTCGTGGCAGGAATAATGTACATTTCTGTAGCATATTACCAAAGCTAGATAAGGGCCATGGATGGTACATTCGCGATGTTTCTTTTTTGGACGAGCTTTATGATAAAAACCAGAACTCTATCTTCTTTTTCAAGCTATACAGATTGTGAATAAATATATTTTTTTAATTTTTATTTTTATATTTTGTTTTTTTTTTCCTTTTCTACGATATATTTCCAACGTGACTTCATGAGAAATTACATTTAACTATTCGTCTATAGTTCAAGTCACACTGAAAATACAGTGTAGGTATCATAGGCAGTGGATTTTAACAGTTCAAAAGTTCATACCTGTGTGTTATGCAGATAGATAAAATGATTTTAAATATATATAATTAAACATATTTTGATTTTTGATTTTGTTTGTAAAATAGGTAATAAAAGCTGAATAGTAGCGGCGTTTAAGAACAGGAATATTGGATTACTTTAATGAGGTATTACAGACTGATATAAGCAAGTCCCCCAAAATGGCTTATAGTAACCCCAAAATATGAAATTTGTCTTTCATTTTATATTCCATTTCTTACCATTAATCTGGAGTTCAAGAAATGCAAACAAGTTCAAGTGCTCCATGCACGTGCGAAAATTTGAGTGATTTTTAATATCGTTTGCTGTTTGATGAATTATGAAAAGTTGAGTTTAAATGCAGCTGGGAGTGATGCTTCAAAACTGTGTTAGTGAAAAAACAATTTTTAACGTAAAAAAAATCGGGGAAATCAGTAAAATTCTTTCAATTATACATATGACGAAGATTTTAAGAGTCTATTCAGATAAATTGTTCAGAATTTTTTTTTTGAAAAACATTCCAGCTACTTGCAATTGCAATTTATAGAATTATCCTTTATTATTGTGATTCTTTATGTACATAAAAATTACGTAAAGTAATAATGTTAAAATGAAATTCGGACTCGATTGTGAAAAAAAAAGGCTGCCAAAGTCAGTTAACTACCACTTTTGATTTACAAAGTGAAAAAGGCAACATGTGGTTAGAATTTTGTTAAAACATCTACTAATAATACCCTTTATTTGTAAAAAAAGAATCCAACTAAATGCATACAAACTCTATTTCTAAAAGGAGAGTAGAGTGCTTGCGAGCAGACGAGAAATATTATTTTCAGTATATTATTAACAATAATAATAATATTTAAAGGTATCTTTTTCTTGTTATCCAATATAAGTGATTCATTAGACATCAGTACGACATCTATTCTTGCGCTTCGGATCCTTTGTTATTTGAGAAAACTGTAAAAGTTATTCTTACTTTTTATATTTCTCTTCTAATATCTGAGGACCCATTTGACCTGTGAACACGATTTGTTTTTAGTCTTAAAAAGCAGCCTTCTTTCGTATTGATATTTTTCTTTTTAAATATAACTTTAGAAAATGTGCGGGCAAATTTTCGGTAATCAAAAAACATTTGATTTTTGGGAATGTCACTGTGAAGGAAATGTAGACAAAACAGTGATTGATACGTGCTGAGGAAAAAGCAACATTGAAAGGCGATAAGTAAGGCTTCGAAATGTAGGTGACCTAGCATAAAGAGTGAAGAAAAATCGACTTGAAAAAATGTTTTAACACATTTGGCTTTGTTTTCCAAGGCTTCTTAGAAAAAATGGGAGTCTTATGAAATATTTGAATATACGTGAAATGTGCCTTATTTAGCATCCATATAAATAAGTTTGTAGATTGTTTTAATTATAATTTACTCGTCAGCGATATGCTAGTTGTTGATCAAATGATCCCTTTTTTTAGCAGGTTTCATCTTAAATTGTTCGTTGCATACGAAAAAGGCACAATTTTACGCATAATTTGCTCCATTAGTCGAGGCTCTTTGTCGCGGCCAACGTATAATTCGAATTATTAGGAAACGACGATGCAAATGTCATCGGTAAATTGTTTTCCCAGCCGCGCAGGGGAGCTGAGGCCAACAATTCCCGCATTTCTATTGTGGCGGCATCCGAAGCGCTCGGGGCAACGAGATAGTTATTTGCCTCATCATTTGATAATTCTTAATGCTTCGCCCAAAAATTAGACGAGAAAATAATGACCCGCCAACACCGGTAGATTCCATTCCATATATCCCTCTCCGCGTTTTGAAGTTAGAGTTAGTGCGTTATTTATTTCCCCATTAAAAATTACTTTTAGTCGTGTAAAAAAAATCGCATTCCAGAAAATTGTCGCCATATATGTTGAAGAGAATGTTAAATCGTGTTAATAATTGTCACATCTCTACATTGCTAAGGTTTGATTTCACTTTTTTGGTAATGGAATTATTAGAAAATTTATGTAATTACTATATAATACTTAGTAGTATATAGGTATGCTGAATCATAAATCCAGATTTCTTTAAAAATAAAGCTTTAACTTTAATAACGTTAAAAAGTGTTCAATTTAAAAGAAAATCCAGCAATGAAACCCGAAGTATAATAAGATATTTTTGCAAAGGATCGAAAAATTTGACCTATGTTTTGTAACGGGTTCAATTTGTCATTGGCTACTTCGACTTATGTTTCTCACATGTAGGTTAATAATGCTCGGAGACTACCTATTAAATGTTTTATTCTCACAATTACACACTGTCTTAATCCTCAAAACTACTGGTATTGCTAATTATTCTTCACTACTTCATTCTGTTCGAACACACTGTAACTGCTTAATTGCTTGGTGTGGTTTACCTGTCCTAAAATAAATGTAAATAAGTGTAAGCCCTTGCATTTTTGCTGCAATTTAAGATGTTACTGCGGAATGCGGTTGGATTGCACGAGACGATCGTCCTGTATTCCTTCTTATTTCCGAACTAACTGCAATTTCTATTCTTGTCTCTTGCTTTCATTTATTTACACTTGTTGCTTTTTGTAGAGGTTATATTTCAATCCTCTGTCAACGCGATTGCACCCGGCCATTAGTACAGTTAAGCACTCGACCTTTGGCCCACGTTCGTCTTCGATTTCCTAAGACGTTACTGTGTAATCTCATTCATGTGTGTGTAATAATGGATTATTATTGGTAATAGCGGGTAGTAGTTAGGTAATATTTGGTCTCCTTGCGTCGATTAACTCCTGTCATTATTGGCCCATTGACTCTAGTGATGTCGGAACCGAACATCGGATTGTCAGCATCATCGGTCTTTTTTGGAACTTTGAAACTTCATCGGTCTTTCTTTCTTTGGCTTTACGATTTCCGCCGGTGCAAGTGGTTGCAAGATTTCATTCCGAATAAGTTTGTGGCATCTCGAGGATTAAACCGGATTGAAATCGTATAGAAGTTGCGGATCGTCGTCTTGTTGGTAGTATTTTGCTTGGACGTCCCCAACATTACAGCTTAGGCTGGATTAAAGCTAACCAACCTAGCACCTGGCACTCTTCACCGCCACCCAAGATCATCAGGCGTAAGTTTCACAATTTATTTCACGCTTTGCAAGTAATTATGAACACCGCAACTCATTATTTTTGTTTTGTAGGGTTTTGGTTTTCGTTTTGGATTTGGTTTTTCTTTTGGAACCAGTTTTGATTGTTTGTCTGGT